CCTGGAAATGGACCCTGCGGGAAATGCCCTAACAATACATCATCAGTCAAGCGGTCACGTGCAGCGAGTGGCCACCGTACCTAGCCGCAGGGCGCGAGCGGGCGGCCGCAGAGGCACTTGTTGGGCGCGAAGTGCTTGGGGCCGAACCTGTGCGTGTACCGGCCCTGCGGGATCGGCCCGCACAGATTGTTGTAGCTCACGTCGAACGCCAGCCACCTCCTCGCCGCCGCGGCCGCCGGGATGCCCCCGTAGATCATGTTGTGGTCGACGGCCAGTATGTCCAGCGCCCCCGGCAGCTCGACGCGGCCGAGGTCAAACGCGAACCGGTTGCGCGACAGCCGCACCGAGTTCACCCGCTTCCCGGCGCCGAACAGCACCGACGCGTCGCCCGTGAGCTGGTTGTCGGCGACGTCCACGCTGCCGAACTCCGCGCCCGCGAAGGCGGCCGGGAGCGGGCCGGTCAGGCGATTGCCGGCGACGGAGAGGTCGTACACGGTGGCCGTCGGCGGGATGGGGCCGTCGAGGCGGTTGCCGTCCAGGCGGAGGAAGGTGAGGTCCGGGAGGGCGCGCGGGCCCAGGAACGCCGGGATGCGGCCGTAGAGGCGGTTGTAGGCCAGGTTGACGGTCTGCAGGGCGGTGAGGTTGGCGATGGCGGCCGGGACCGGCGCGGAGATGTTGAGCGCGAAGACCGTGAGCTCGGTGACCCGGCCGGTGGTGGCGTCGCAGGAGATGCCCGGCCAGGCGCAGCAGGGCGCGGTGGAGTTCCAGCCGGAGAGGTCCGGGTGGTTGCCCAGCGCGGACTTGACGGCCAGCAGAGCCGCCTTGTCCGACTTGTCGCAGAGAGCGCCGTCGGCCCGCGCAGCTGCTGCTGCAAGGACAAGGACGGCGACGCCGACGAGGAACGGCATGGTGTGGCGGCACGGACTCGTGAGCTGCATGGTGGTGGAGCGCCTTGTTGGAGGCTGAGCTAGTTGGTTTTGACCCGGCCGCTTTGTGTTGTGTGGGAGGAGACTGGGAGTGTGGAGGCTGAGAACCACATAAATAGGAGTCGAGCTAGCTGTACATTGCTGACCGAGATCCGATGTGGAGCGCAGTGCCATGGCACTATGGCACACATGCATACTCCTTCCGTCCGTAAATAAGTGTACATCTAGCTTTTGTTTTAAGTCAAAGTTTTAATACTTTGACCAAATTTCTAGGAAAGAGTAAAAGCATTTATGACACCAAATTAGTATCATTAGATTCGTTTTGAAATGTACTTTCATAATATATCAATTTGATGTCATATATGTTACTACTATTTTTTATAAAGTTGGTCAAAATTTTAAAACTTTGACTTAGAACAAAAACTAGATGTACACTTATTCATGGACAGAGGGAGTATGTCGTGCGCTCTGTTGGTCGGCATGGTACCACACGTTCGGCATCCCTACGTAGTACGTACTGTACCAAGCATGTGGAATATCTGCCCTCGTCAATGATACCTGCCCTGCTTCATCACGGCAACGCAACACTACAGCGTGTAACACGAAGAGAACAGAAATCCCCTTCCCTGTAGGGAGGGAGGGTATGGACCCCATCAAAGAACTACCAGAACTACAGTTACTACTACCAATCTACTGTGTGTGTCTAGTTCCATGGTCCACTCTGCTGGTGTGATCATCATCTCCATGATCAATCATACTAACTGCAAGGCAAGGCATGTTCATACCAGCCGCTACACATTGAGTTCACATGCCAAAAATCAAACACTATCAGATTCAGTACCAAAAAGGCTAACTCAATCCTAGCTTACAGAGTGCCATTCAATCAGAGAATTACTGCAAGAAACTTAACGAGTCATCGCATTGCGCACACACACACATATAACTTTGCCCTAGCGCCTACCAGCGAAGGAGAGAAAAAGATGCATGTAGGGGTCAGCCTATCTGTCTGCTTCTATTACATGCAAGATCATTAACATGCACCATCACGATCAAATGAAATGCAGGGTGTTATTCCTTGAAATTATTTTACTGTGTCTACCTGTACATTTTTTAACGAAATCAAACCTTGAATGTTCAGCACAAAATGTGAGCACTCCTACATGTAACGTCACTAGCCAGCCATTGCACATACATATCCATGATGCGCCGTGTTATACATCATGCTAAACGAAATGGACAACAAAGTGGAGCATTTGATCTTCCAATGGAAGATGTAAATCAGCAATGAGTGATAGCATTAGCAATGAGTGACCAGCGTCAGAATTAGAGCCTATGAATAAGCAACACGAGCATACAGAGTTTGAACAAAACATGGACATCTAATGACTAATAGCACAGAACTCCAATGCATCAGGATTTGATTGTTTGCAGGGTGACAGTGCTGTCCAATGCAGCAGAGGTTCGAAGTTCTAAAACTGTCAAGGCCATGCTGGATGAGCACTAGTGCTAACTGAAAACAAGCAAAGTACGTACCTACTACCGTCTAATAGTTCCTACCACTTTGCCGACAAATCATAATCCAGAACCAGACATGAAAGTCCAACAAAATAAGCCATACATGTAGACTGCATAGTGCTAGTACTAACAATCATCAGGATGCAAACTTAACCAACTGAACTCTCCAGAACGTAATGTTTCCAATTTCTAATAGACTAGCTAGTACTGGAATGAAATGACTTGTAATCATAGTCTACACTAGACTGGTGGTAAGGCACTTGAATTTTACATGAATTTGATGCAAGATTGGATCCTAATTTTCGCATCACAAATGAAGTTAATCATTAAGACAGGTTACTAATTAGAATTCTCTACCCGCATGCAACTACTTAAGTTAAAGCCAAGTGTTGATGCCAAAACAACAGAAACATTCAACACAACTCCAACTTGACAAGAATATGCATGAAAGGGTAAACATAGATACGTGGTTAACTACCAGATCATATCCATTGAGCGAAAGCGATCAACAAAACATTGCTCACTTGATGATTCAAAGCTTAAAACACTTTCAGTGAACACCTGCAAAATGCCGAGTAACTAGATGTTCATTCAGTACCTTGTCAAAACGAACATAATACTCCATGCTAATATGCTTTCAAGTAAAATTCAGTGCACGTAACAATCATGAGGATGCAGACTTAATCAATTGAACTCGCCGGAACTTAATGTGTTTAATCTCAAATAGACTAGTACTGGAATGAAATCGACTTGTACGATAGTAGACCATAATCTACACTTGACTGGTGGTAAACGCTCTCACTCTGAAAGAGAGCTGAAATAAATCTGACCAGAGTTTTGGATGAATTTGATGCAAGATTGGATCCTAATTTTGGCATCACAAATCAAGTTAATCATTCTGATAGATTACTAATTCAGAATGCTTTACCTGCATGCAACTACTAAAATTAAAGCCAAGTGTAAATGCAAAAAAAAAAAACACACAACAGAAACATTCAACACAGCTCCAACTTGAAAAGTATATGCATGAAAGGGTAAACATATATGCATGGTTAACTACCAGATCATATCCATTGAGCGAAAGCGATTAACAAGACATTGCTCACTTGATGATTCAAAGCTTAAAACACTTTCAATGAACACTTGCAAAATGCCGAGTAACCTGATGTTCATTCAGTACCTTGTCGAAACTAACATAATACTCCATGCTAATATGCTATCAAGTAAAAATTCAATGCACGTAACAATCATCATGATGCAAACTTAATCAATTGAACACTCCAGAACTTAGTGTTCTCAGTTTCTAATGGACTAGTACTGGATTATAATTTACACTTGACTGATGGTAAACGCTCTCACTCTGAAAGAGAGCTGAAATAAATCTGACCAGAGTTTTACATGAATTTGATGCAAGATTGGATCCTAACTTTGGTATATCACAAATGAAGTTAATCATCAGGATAGATCACTAATTAAGAACTCTGTACCTGCATGCAACTACTTAAGTTAAAGCCAAGTGTTGATGCGAAAACACCGGTGCTAACTGCAAACAAGTGCAAAATATCTACTACCACTTTGCCGAAAAATCATAATCCAGAACCAGACATGAAAGTCCAACAGAATAGGCGATATATGCAGACTGCAGAATACTAATACTAACAATCACCAGGATGCAAACTTAATTAATTGAACTCTCCGGAACTTAATGTTTCCAATTTCTAATGGACTAGTACTGGATTGTTAGATTACTAATTCAGAATACTTAACCTGCATGCAGTGCAACTACTTAAATTAAAGTCAAGTGTTGATGCCAAAACAACAAAAACATTCAACACAGCTCCAACCTAACAGGAATATGCATGAAAGGGTAAACATAGATGGTTAACTACCAGATCATATCCATTGAGCAGTAGCAAGCAACAAAACATTGCTCACTTGATGATTCAAAGTTTAAAACGCTTTCAGTGAACACTTGCCCAATGCCGAGTAACTAGATGTTCATTCAGTTCAGTACTTGTTGAAACGAACATATATAACACTCCTGGCTAATATGCTAGTATCAAGTAAAGTTCAATGCACGTAAACTAGACAATGTCGCAAGATGATCAGATAATAGCAAGATTGGATCCTAATTTATGCATCACAAATGGAGCTAATCACCACAATAGACCACTAATTCAGAATACTTGACCTGCATGCAATGCAACTACTTAAATTAAAGCTAAGTGTTGATGCCAAAACAACAAAAACATTCAACACAGCTCCAACCTGACAAGAATAATTAACTACCAGATAATATCCATTGAGCGAAAGTGATCAACAAAACATTGCTCACAGGTACAAGTAAAATGATCAACGTACGAATGATTCAAAGCTTAAAACGCAGAGTAACTTGATGTTCATTCAGTACCTTGTCGAAACGAACATAACACTCCATACTGGTAATATGCTATGAAGCAAAATTCGATGCACGTAAACTGGACAATGTCGCAAGATGATGAGATAATAGCATGATGTGAAGTTCTAAGCCGCGATTGGCAGGTAAAACAGAGGCATGCATCAGGGGACAATCTTGTCAACCTTCATCTTGTTGATCCAGGTATTGAAGGACCTCACCGTGTTCCGGAACCCGAAGAATCCATACTCCTTGCTCTTGTTCATGGTGTCCAGGTTCTCCCGCTCCACGTTGACCATGGCGTCGACGCAGAACCAGTTGGTGATGTCGTTGAGCTCGGTCTCCACGAGCCCGTTCTCGTTGACGATCTCCGACCACACGCCCTCCTTCCCGGCCATGGCCTCCTCCAGCATGAAGCGCTGATCCTCCCCCTGGTACCCCGTCCACTTCACGCCGAATTGGCTGGCGAGGATCGGCCATAGCTGCTGCCACTTGAAGAGGTCCCCGTTGCTGCAGTTGAAGGGTTCGTTCCTGCCATTGGGCTCCATGGCCGCCCAGAGTGCGTGCTCGGCGACGAGCTCCGCGTCGGAGGCGTCGCTGAAGCCCTCCCAGGCGACACGGGATCCTGGCCAGCGCAGCACGAGGCCCTCCTTGCCGCAGATGGCGGCGTAGACGCAGAGGCTGGCGACGACGTTTCTTGCGCTCCGTGGGGAGAAGCCGAAGATGGTGGTGGGGCGGTGCACGGACCAGGTGACGCGGTTGTTGCTGGCGAGCCCGTCGAGGAGGACGTCCTCTAGGTCGGGGTAGTCGAGGCGCGGGAGGTCCTCGGAGTAGGGGCGGAGCGCGAGGGGCACGTCGGTGAGGGGCTCGAACGGGTCGACGTAGTGCTTGCGGCCGGTCTGGAGGCAGACGTGGAGCAGGCCGGGGCAGTTGGGGACGAGGGCGGAGAGGACGTTGCGGAGCATGGCGCCGTTGGCCTCGCGGCCCTCCGCGTGCGTGGGGCGAGGGTCCCAGGCGACGTAGAAGACGTGGGTGACGTCGGTGAGGGGCGCGAGGGCGTCGGCGACGGCGGCGGGGTCGGCGAGGTCGAGGTGGTGGTGGAAGACGTCGGGCGGGAGGGGCGCGGACCAGGGCGGGAGCGGGCGGCGGGAGAGCGCGTAGACCTTCCACGGGCCCCCGGGCGTGTCGCGGAGCGGGAGGATGTCGATGAGGGCGGCGCCGACGATGCCGGTGGAGCCGACGACGAGGGCCACGTTGCTCTGGGGGGCCTCCGCGGCGGCGCGGGCGCGGCTGCTGGCCCGGCGCTTCTTGAAGGCGCCGAACGCCCCCGCCCACCACCACTTCATCATGGTGGCAGCGCGGCGCTGGGATGGGCCGGCGCGGTGGATCGAGGAAGATGAATCGGCGAGAGGAGAGGGGCGGAGCGGAGCAGGTGGGGAGTTTGGGTTCTGGGTTTTGCGTCTTGGTCTTTGTTTGCTAAAGCTGCTTTACTTTATGGCTGGCGATTCTGTTGCGGCGTGTCTCTCTCTTCCCGTTCCTTCCCACTGCTGAAACCGCCTTTCTCTCTCTCTTGAATTCCTCTCTTTTGAACTCCTTCCTTCTCTCTCTAATTTAAACACTCTCTCTTTTGAACTCCTCTCTCTCTCTCTCAAAACATAGAGCAGTTTTCTGTCACGAGAGCTTTGTCGTTTCTCAAAGGCCCATAGGCCCAACCAACCTGCCTCAAATGCCATCATGGCAACTTGTTTCAAAGCCAATTCTCAAAGAAATTTAAAACCTTGCTTCAAAGCAACATAATTCTCACCGACACAATAGCTTTTGTACGTTCACAACATCATCGTCGTAGCATTTTTTTTCTTGGTCCATGGAAGGAAAAGGTGTTATATCATTCGGAACACACCCAATGTAATTGTTTGTTGTATGTACTGATGAGTACAAATTATGAGTCCTTTTTACCGTTATTTTTGTGTCTATTAGGTAGGCTTTGCGAAATTTTGCCTCGTTTGTGCACTTCTTTCCGTTGATAACCCTTCAGATAAAGGTTTTTTGGAGCAATATTTATTTAATACAGAAGACCCAAAAATGCCAGTGGAATCACGTACTAAAGGTGATAAACACTTTCCATAAGAAAATCAAGCAAGAAGGCCAAAGAAATCGCCATCATCGCGCTTCCAAAGAAAATGACGGCGTTCCATGCAACTGCGCGCGCTCGCATGAGCGGTCGTTTGGCGCGCCGCCGCCTCTAGGAGATAAGCTATTTTCACCCCGTCGAGGCGAATCACGGATGAGACACACAGAGACTCCAGAAGCTCACCTAGAAGGCAGAACTCTAGCCTCCGGAACTCATCCGGAGGGAGGACCATCCAGGAGGAGAAGGGGACCCTTCTCACCGCGAGGGGAATGAAGTCATCATCATCTTCATCACCACTGACTTCATCATCATCATCATCATCATCCACATCCTTATCATCTGTACCATCAAGAACCCTAGTGGATCCCTCGGTGTATCGGTTGATTCATTCACTCATGTACCATCACCATTATTATGATGATTGTCATCCCCATGTGTGAGTAGACCCATTGTTCCCGGGTATGGATGAACCCTAGTGTGTAATATGATGTTTGATATTAGGATTTAATATCCTCTTTGCATGTTTATGTTGATAATCTTCTTGACATTGGGTGAAGTCGATCGTCCAACGTTTGCCAACCTTGGACGGAAGGTTATTACTGTTGGTTAACTGTGTGGTTGTGCAGTTGGGTGACATGACAAGCCCCTTCTCCATTCGTAGCAGATAGTTGCAACAGTGGGTAAAACGGAGACCACTTTGGCTGTGTCCACGAGGACCTCTTTCCCTTAATCACCGTTTGATAATCGGAGTGGGGAAGAACGGTGGTGGCGTATGGGATACAGAGGGGCTGTTTGGTTCTAGGCCTAGGAGTGCCACACTTTGCCATACAATGTTGCCAAACTTGCCTAAGGTTAGTTCTTCAAAATGAGAGCCACAAGTTGGCAAGCCTAAGGTAATCTTGACTTTTTGTGTGTATGTGATGTGAGACAATAGTGTGGCTTGCCTAAGATGTGGCTTGAATCAAACACACACCTAACTTGGTCAAACTTGCCTAACCTTAGGTGTGGCGAGCTTTGGCAAACTTAGTCTCAAACCAAACAGCCCCAGAGTGAAGGAAATATGCCCTAGAGGCAATAATAAAGTTGTTATTTTATTTTCCTTATTCATGATAAAGGTTTATTATTCATGCTAGAATTGTATTGATCAGAAACTTAAATGCATGTGTGAATACATAAACAAATACCGTGTCCCTAGTAAACCTCTACTAGACTAGCTCGTTGATCAAAGATGGTTAAGGTTTCCTAACCATAGACATGTGTTGTCATTTGATAACGGGATCACATCATTAGGAGAATGATGTGATGGACAAGAGCCATCCGTTAGCTTAGCATAATTATCGTTTAGTTTATTGCTATTGCTTTCTTCATGTCAAATCCATATTCCTTCGACTATGATATTATGCAACTCCTGAATACCGGAGGAATACCTTGTGTGTTATCAAACGTTACAACATAACTGAGTGATCATAAAGATGCTCTACAGGTATCTCCGAAGGTGTTTTTTTAGTTGGCATAGATCGAGATTAGGATTTGTCACTTCGAGTATCGAAGAGGTATCTCTGGGCCCTCTCGATAATACATATCATAAGCTTGCAAGAAAATGACTAAGGAGTTAGTTATGATGTGATGTATTACGGAACGAGTAAAGAGACTTGCCGGTAAAGAGATTGAAATAGGTTTGAAGATACCGACGATCGAATCTCGGGCAAGTAACATACCGATGGACAAAGGGAATTATGTATGTTGTCATAACGGTTCGACCGATAAAGATCTTCGTAGAATATGTAGGAGCCAATATGGGCATCCAGGTTCCGTTATTGGTTATTAACCAGAGAAGTGTCTCGGTCATGTCTACATAGTTCTCGAACCCGTAGGGGTCCGCATGCTTAACGTTCGTTGACGATATAGTGTTATGTGATTTGGTGACTGGATAATATTCGGAGTCCTAGATGAGATCATGGACACAACGAGGAGTCTCGAAATGGTCGATAGGTAAAGACGGATATATAGGACGATGGTATTTGGACACCGGAAGAGTTTAAGGACGTACCGGGTAGTCATCGGGTCACCGGAAGGGGTTCCGGCAAGTCCCAGGATGTCTATGGGCCATATGGGCCAAGAGAAGGGAGCACACCAGCCCACAAGGGGCTGGTGTGCCCCTCTATGGCAGCCGACCATAGGGAGAGAAGGAAAGAGGAGAATAGGTCTCCTCCTTCCTTCCCTCTCCTCCTCTTTCCTTCCCCCTTAGGGGAATTATGGCAAGGGGGCGCAAGGCTGGGCAGGAGCCCTAGGGCTGGCCAGCCACCTTTATGGTGCGCCTGGCTGCTCCCATCTTCTCCCCGACCTATATATATGTGGGAGGGGGCACCACACAGGGGGCACAACATTGTCTTAGCCGTGTGCGGTGCCCCCCTCCACCGTTTACACCCTCAGTCACATGTTTGTAGTGCTTAGGCGATGCCCTGCAGGGATAGCATGACCATCACCATCACCATGTCATCGTGCTACCGGAACTCATCCACTACTTCGCCCGTCTTGCTGGATCAAGAAGGTGAGGACGTCACCGAGCTGAATGTGTGCAGAACTCGGAGGTGCCGTACGTTGGGTACTTGATCAGTTGGAGCGCGAAGATATTCTATTACATCAACCGCGTTACTAAATGCTATCGCTTATGGTGTACGAGGGTACGTAGACACCCCCCTCTTGTTGCTATGCATCTCCATGGATAGATCTTGCATGTGCGTAGAATTATTTTTGTTTTCCATGCAACATTCCCAACTGTGGCATCAGAGCCAGGTCTATGCGTAGATGATATGCACGAGTCAAACACAAATAGTTGTGGGCGGTGATAGTCATACTGCTTACCACCAGCGTCTTATTTTGATTCAGCAGTATTGTAAGATGAAGCGGCCCGGATCAACCTTACATGTCCACACACATGAGACCGGTTCCACCGGCTGACATGCAACTTATTTTGCATAAAGGTGGCTGGCGGGTGTCTGTTTCTCCTACTTTAGTTGAATCGAATTTGACTGCGGCTGGTCCTTGAAGAAGGTTAAAACAACAAACTTGATGAATCACCGTTGTGGTTTTTGCGTAGGTAAGAAGGGTTCTTGCTAGAAGCCCGTAGCAGCCATGTAAAACTTGCAACAACAAAGTAGAGGACGTCTAACATGTTTTTGTAGGGCATGCTGTGATGTGATATGGTCAAGACATGATGTGATATACGTTATTGTATGAGATTATCATGTTTTGTAATTTATCGGCAACCTGCAGGAGCCTTATGGTTGTCTCTTTATTGTATGAAATGCAAACACCATGCAGTTGCTTTAGTTTATCGCTATGCGTTAGCAATAGTTGTAGAAGCAATAGTTGGCGAGATGATCCCGACGCAACGATGGAGATCAAGGTGTCGAGCCGGTGACGATGGAGATGGATATCAAAAGCACAAGATGATGATGGACATATCATGTCACATATTTTGATTGCATGCGATGTTTATCTTTTATGCATCTTATTTTGGTTAGAACAACAGTAGAATTATAAGATGATCCCTTCACTAAATTTCAAGATAAAAGTGTTCTCCCCGAGTATGCACCGTTGCTAAAGTTCGTCGTTTTGAAGAACCTCGTGATGATCGGGTGTGATAGACTCTATGTTCACATACAACGGGTGTAACACAGTTTTGCATATGCAGAATACTTGGGTTAAACTTGATGAGCCTAGCATGTACGGACATGGTCACAGAACACTGGAGACCAAAAGGGCGGACATGAGTCATATAGTAGACATGATCAACATAGAGATGTTCACCATTGATGACTACCCCATCTCACATGATGATCGGACATGGGTTAGTTGTTTTGGATCATGTATCACTTAGATAACTTGACGGATGTTAATTTAAGTGGGAGTTCATTAGTAATTTGATCAATTGAACTTAATTTATCATGAACTTACTCTTGATATTTTTTGCATATCTATGTTGTAGATCAATAGCTCATGATATAGCTCCCCTATTTTTGACATGTTCCTAGAGAAAACTAAGTTGAAAGATGTTGGTAGCAATAATGTAGACTGGGTCCATGATCTAAGGATTATCCTCATTGTTGCACAGAAGAATTATGTCCTTGATGCACCGCTAGGTGACAGACCTATTGCGGGAGTTGATGCAGATGTTATGAACGTTTGACAAGCTTGATCTGATGACTACTTTAT